AAATCCAAATCTCCAATTCAAGAAATTGAAAAAATTAAGCGATACAAGAGATAGAACCATCGATTGGGGAACAACTAATTAAGAAAGAAGAACGAGAAGCAGGGGACACAGGTTTAAGACCTACAAACAGTATCTTAGCCAGAGCAATGGATACTTCCTATTCTCCATGTCAATTTTAGCACATATGCTATATATAATTGGACAGTTTGTACAGACTTTATGGTTGGCTAGGGAAGTACAGAGTGCAAGTATAAGCCAATTAAAGTTGTTGTTGGTATACATGATCCTTGGTATTGTGATGATGCTCTTTTTATTTGGTAGATCTTATTTTATTGTTAAGTTAACAATGAACACATCACTTGCTATATTTAACAAGTTGATTACATGTCTTTATCGAGCACCAATGTCCTTCTATGACTCAACACCTGTAGGAAGGATCATTAGCAGGGTAACTCTTTTTTACCTAAACTCATACATATATATATATATATATATATATATATATATATATATATATATATATATATATATTATCAATTTATCATGCTCGAATGATCTGCAAGAAACTTAGATATCTACTTTTTGTTAGGTGTCCTCGGATCTCAGCATCGTGGATCTTGAATTAGCAGTAAAGCTTACGTTTACTGTAGGTTCAACAGTGAACACATACTTTACCCTTGGAATCTTGGCAGTTCTAACTTGGCCTATCTTGGTCATTATCATTCCAACGGTTTATCTTACCATACTTCTGCAGGTAAAAAAGGAGTGTTCTTAGACTTGAGGCAAATTTGTTGAAAATTAGGACTTAGGACCTAAATGGAAAAAGAAACACTCATATAAAACTTACGGGATTAAGTTTTCTCTAATGTTAACTCTCCAGTTCTATTACACAGAAATTCTATTACGCATCTGCAAAGGAGTTGATGCGATTAGATGGCACGAGTAAGTCATTAGTCACTAGCCATCTTGCACAATCTATTGCTGGAGTGGTTACCATTAGAGCTTTTGGCGAAGAAGACCGTTTCTTTGTAGAACATTTGAACCTTATTGACAACAATGCAAGTCCATTTTTTCATAGTTTTTCAGCAAACGAGTGGTTGATCCAACGTCTGGAAATGCTTTGTGCGCTTGTTATTGCTAGCTTTGCACTAGCCATAACTTTGCTTCCATTTCAAGCATCTGACTCTGGTTAGTGATTTCAAACTATATAATCTCATTGGTAGACTACGGTTAGTGATACTAACGAGAGCTATGATGCTTCTCTAAAAAAAACTTTGTAATGACAGGACTTATTGGAATGGCTCTTTCCTACGGGCTCTCATTGAATGTTTTCGTTGTTTTTTCTGTCCAAGTCCAATGCCAACTATCAAATATGATAGTTTCGGTTGAAAGACTAGAGCAATACATGCATATCCTTAGTGAAGCCCCAGAAATCATAGAAGACAACCGCCCCTCAAGCAACTGGCCAAGTACGGGTAGAGTTGATATCCAAAATCTAAAAGTACGTACAGTTTTCAAACTTTTTCTCATGTTTGTTTGGTTGGATGGAATGGAATAAGCAAGGTGATGCAAATGATTATTTCTTTTTGACTTTGGTCTTTAGGAATGAAATGATAATGACTATTCCATTCCATCACACAATGGACAATTCCATCATTTCAAACTCCTAATTTTATGACTTATTTGATTATTTTTACAATGTAGATAAGATATCAACCGAATTCCCCGTTGGTTCTTCAAGGAATCAGTTGTGTATTCGAAGGAGGAAACAAAATTGGAATTGTTGGAAGGACAGGGAGTGGAAAAACAACTTTAATCAGTGCTTTGTTTCGCCTAGTTGAACCTACAGAGGGAAGAATCATTATAGATGAATTAGATATTACTACAATTGGACTCCATGACCTTCGATCAAATTTTGGTATTATTCCACAAGAGCCAACTTTATTCAATGGATCCATTCGTTACAATATTGATCCTCTTGGAGAACATAGTGATCAAGAAATATGGCAGGTAAATGAAAACACTTGCTAATCATAATTATTGTCAAATTGTAACACTTGTTGTCTTTTTCTAGGTTCTTGAAAAATGCCAACTTCGAGATGCAATTCAAGACAAAAAAGATGGGTTGGACTCGTTGGGTAAGATTTAAAAATATTTACTTATTGACTTAGGGTATGTTTATTTGGTATGATGAAAATGAATGAACAAGATAATGGAATGGGTGATTATATTGGATTGAACAAGGTAATGGAATGCTACTATTCTTGCAATTTGCTCAAAATTATTTGAATAAAGTAATTTATAATAATATAATATCATTCCATTCCATCAATAAATTAAAAATAAAAACTTCCTCTATGGATCAAAATCAGAATTCACATTTCATTCCATGATAATTCTCCATTCCATTCGCTCTTTGATTATTATAGTTGTGCAAGATGGATCGAATTGGAGTTTGGGACAACGACAACTGTTTTGTTTAGGAAGAGCTCTTTTAAAAAGGCGAAAGATACTTGTACTTGATGAAGCCACAGCTTCAATCGATAATGCAACTGATACAATTATTCAAAAAACTATTCGGGAAGAATTTCAAGATTGCACAGTAATTACAGTTGCACATAGAATACCAACTGTTATAGACTGCTCAATGGTACTTGTTATGAAGGATGGTAAGTTTTTTTTTCCTATGTATGTTTCTTGTCTGATTGAATGGGCCATTCCAGTCCTGAAGGAACATGATTCCTTACATTTTGGTAATTTTCATTTATGTGACTTTTAATATTTTACCTTGTTTGTAAATTACAGGAAAGGTGATGGAGTATGATGAACCCTCGAAATTGATGAGCCAACCTGATTCTTTATTTGCACAGCTTGTTAATGAATATTGGTCACAACATAAAACCTCATGATCATATTATTAGGTAAGATCAGATCACTACAATAATAATGATAATGAAATTAGTTCGCAATCAACTTTGTGAAATCGATAGTTATCACCATGTAATTTACATTTCATTTCAGTAAATCTCGTGCTTCTTCATTCTTAACGAATGGGATTGTCTGATTTTTGCTGAAACTTTTTATTTTGGTTTACATTTCATATAATGTGTTGTGTGTTTTGTTGGATGGATTTAGAATGGAATTGAAATCTATTTTATAATAAAATCTTTGTTTAGTTTTTTTAGAGAGTTTATTATAAAACCTATCTATCATTTATATGTTTAAGCTGACCAAAAGACCAAGTCGGAAATTATCTCATTTGTAGTCCATCAAGTTCGACATTAAATAATATAAACATCCTCTAATCCACTTACACCAAGTTCAAACAAACCCCATAACTTCAAGTACTAATTGTTTGGATTTTCCATTGTGTTGGGAAGTATATGGAACTACGACTTATTAAATTCCTCACCATTATCATATTGGAAATAATGAATATCATGATTGAATTGATTTTAATATAAGAAAGAAGGTGAATGACTTTTCAAAACTTTATATAGTAAAGGTTACACAAAAAGAAAAGGGAGAAAACTGGTTTAAGAAACGAACTTATTATTTAATACTGTTTTGACTTTCTAAGAGAGAAGTCTATATATCATGATAAACTGTTTGTTAATGAAAAGACACAAAATAATTAGATAAAATAACTATAAGTCAAACATGCTTACTTACCAACAACACAATGCTAGGATTTTTTGGTACAAGGAATTAGATGAATCAAGTCAAAAATGTTGAAAGGCATGTTACCAATGATCACCAAGAAGTTGATGTCAAGGATACGATATAAATGACATGGGAACTTAAAGAGCAGACGAAGTGACAGATAAAGGTCTTCAGAGTTGGCATATCATAAAAGAGTTTGAGAAATCAAGAAGTCATTCATAGAAAAATCAAATTCAATAGTGTATCTTTTTTCACGAAGAAATGATTTACACAAATAAGATCATTAATGATTTTATGAGGTGATAAGGATATGATTAAGGAAAAACTATACAATATAGGTTGGGATATGGTAAGTTGGTGTGACCCAAATTAATTAGAAGAATCTCAAATCCATCACCGACTACTACATAAGTGGATATGCATTTACTACTAAGGGATTTGAGAATACCTAAAATAGTATGAAGATAAGAAGTTGCTTCTAATCCATGTATCATTATGCGCTCATTGGATCACTTAGCAACATGTCACTAAAAATTGATGGAAAGAGGGCCATTCGTGATTGTTGAGATGATTAACATAACAACTTACTCTATTGGCATATTGGTATCGATAGAAGACTCGATTGAGGGAGGTTCAACTTAGAGGGGTGGTGTTTGGGTGGGGTGCAGGCCCACGACATCAAGTCATACCCCCAATACATAGGTGAATTGTGACAATAAACAAGAGGTTGTCAAGGTGGTTGGTGGTTGTTTTGATAACCATATATCAATTGTTTCTGCCACTAAAGAGTTGACCACAAATATATTTTCAATAGCAATGGAATTTAAGGAAGGAGAATGATCCAAATAGGAGGCTTGAAATAGGCAACCATGAACTTGATTCATCTGTTGCTCTCCGAGAAGAAGTATAAGAAGAGTCACCAAGAATATAGGAAGAGTGGTAATGGATAATGTTAGTAACATTGTTGAATTCTAAATAGTGGTTGTTAATGGTGTATGTAACAAGGTTTTTCTTGAGAACCATCATGTCCATATTATCAAAAAGGTATGCAATCATTTGATATGTGTGTAGTGGTTTGTTCTAGAAGAAACACTATTGGTGATATTTTGTAGTTCATTATTTGATTGAATAATATTGGTGCCTTTATTATTTCAGAAAAAATGTATCAAAGGTTTTTCCAAACTTTTTGTACCTCGTAAAAATCATATACAACAATGATTGTGAAATTGTTCCATAGATCCACTACTTCACTATGGAATCAATTCAAGTCCATTAATGTGACACCTCCAAATTTTACAACCATAAAAGACCGATTTCCTTATGCTTATTTAAAATCAAAGTATCCTCTATGTGGAATAATATTGCGGAATTTTTTTTCCCAAAAACATGATAATGATATTATCAAATCATTTCCGAAGAAATGTATTTTATTTATATTAAAATGTTGGGATGCCATCGTCGATACACAAAATTACGCATAACGAAATATTACAAGCCTTACAGTAATTAAACTAGTGGCCTAGTATTCCTTGAATCTCTCAGCAGAATGTATCTTTTATATTGCTACATGTGATACAATAAACTAAGTAGGTCAGGTTGGGAAACGTGGTGAGTACATAGGGATTTCAATCCTATTATGTTATAATATATATATATATATATTATATATATATATATATATATATATATATATATATATATATTAGAACTCACAAGATACAATTTTCACCTCATATAAGCAAGTTACCCCACCCTGTCGATCCTCACAATGACACGATTCATACTTCCATATCTAAAATGAATGGATTTACCTAATCCATACTCCCGGATCAGGTATGAATGAGTATGTCTAATCCATGCTCTCGGATCAATGACAAATGACTATTCTCAATCCATACTCTCAGACTAGGGTTGAATGATTGTATAATCCATGCTCTTGGATTAATGACAAATTACTATTCCCAATTCATACTCTCCAACTAAGGACGGATGACTATGTGTAATCCATGCTCTTGGATCAAAGATAAATGCTAGAGTTCTAGCCTCTGTGTATATCTCAACCGTACTCTTAAGAATATACTACCTAATATTCATCTTAATTAATTTAGGTCTATTTTGTAAGTCCTAAATCATCATATTCTATCAGGTATGTTCTTACCATGTATTCCAGGCAATAGAAAATATCTCACACATAAAATCTTTAACAAATATTTAAAACTTTATTTAATAATTGTATTAAAATCATGTTCTTGAATAAGACTATGCACTCACTTGTTAAAGTGATGACTCGAAACTTGGACAATGTTTCGCTCCTAGCAACTATCTTTTCCTTTGACGTAACCTGGTATCATTATCATTAAGTCTCAGTCTAATATTTCTTACAACTAATTATTAGTCTAGATTCATGATTATTCAAAGTGTATTGATCCATAACTGATAAGGGACAACCAGGTAAGATCATATCAGAGGTAGGGTCCATTTGGCATATTTAGTATACTGCTTGGAAAGTCCACTTTAAACATCTCAGTAAATCTAGCCTTATCATCATCCCCGTAAGTAGATCAATCAATATAAATACATGGAATCACTGATAAATCTTTTTTATAGGTTCAAAATAACAATAATGAACTTAAACATAAGTTATACTTAAAGCACAGTAAGCATAACTGAACTTACTGGTGGTTTAGCAACAAATCGGACTTTACGTGGGAAAAACTTCTAAGCCAAAATCTTTATTTCTCGGGGCTTTCTGACACTATAGAGCTTTACTACTAATCCTTAGGAACTACTAGAACAAGGCTTATGTACCTTGGGAGGGTTTGGGAGAGATTGGAATGAAGATGTGTGAAGAAATGGATGAAATTCATGTTCTCTTTGTAGGCTGCAAGTTTTCCAGTATGTTGGGTGTATTCAACTTACATTGGGCATACTAGTTGCCATGTGTCATCATCTAGTGACAAGCCATCGGGAGAAAGGGGTGTTCCAGATTGCGACACGTGTTGTGTTCTTGTTAATCCAAAAATTAATTATCTTGCAAAATCCATAACTTTCGCATACGAGCTCCATTTTTGACATTCTTTATATCTACATGTAGCTATCGATGAGGTCTACAACTTCTCTTTAGACTCCATCAGCTAATTTTGACTTTATTTTTAAAGTTATATTTTAACAGGCTTACATAATTAAAGTCCGTTAAAAATTCATAACTTTGTCATCCAACGTCCGTTTTCGACTGTCTTTATATCTTTGAACTCCTATTAACGATATCTTCAATTCTCGTTTAGATTGTTTCCGCTGAAAATCAATGGATCTACAATTCGATTTCTAAGTTGTATACTACTACGTTGAATCTTCAAAAAATCATAACTTTCTCTACTGAATTCAGATTTGGACGTTCTCTATATGCACGCTCTCGGTTTAATGAATACTATTAATTTCTTTGGGATCACTAAGGATAAAAGGTATTTTATCAAAATCTCACTTTTTACGATACGTAGAGTCGTGCTGGTTTAATCGTGAAACTTCGAAGAAACATAACTTGTTCATATGAAGTTAGATTTGAGCGTTCTTTATATGTAAGGAATCGTTGTGACATATACTATAACTTTGGTTAAGGTTATTTTTCATAAATAATATTCTATCAAAAAGTCATTTTTAACGCTATTTATCTCTATTTTGATTGTCCGAAATCTGTAGGCGTTACATTATCTCCCTTAGGATGATTATGTTCCAAAATCATCAACAAAACAAGGCTTGTATAATGACTTTGCACTTTACCTTTCCATCCTAGGCGGTAATTATAACTCTCATGTCCTTTCTATTGAGTTTCCAATTTTTGGACTTCTTGACCAGTGGCAGAGCTGCACCTACTTATACTTCTAAATTTGATCTCTGTAACGCCCGCGTTTCCAGGCTAGGCATTATCATTGATGTAATAGTCTAGGTTAACCCTTGTAACTCTTTTTGAAGTATTAATGATGAAATATTTAAGTATTATGTGTTATGTGCTTAATTGTGTGACTTAATTTAATTAAGAATAAAAATAAGCATCAAAATGAAATGTTAGATAAAGCCGATATCTATGGATAATGTTGTAGTGGTTGACACGAGGTTTCCGAATATATAAAGAATGCCGAAATCCAAGTTATAACGAAGAAGTTATGACCTGTCGAAGTTTCGCGACAGAACCAGCAACGCTGAATGACGTAAAAGTGAAATTTACGTTAGTGAGATATTTAGCCTTAGTGATCTAAGCGAATGTTGTAGAGTTCTTTAAACCAAGAGCGAGCATAAAAAGAACGCCTAAATCTAACTTTGTATGAGGAAGTTATGAT